ATGCGAAAATGTTAGTTTTTGATCACATTTTTGTCGTCTTATTAATAACACTAAGAAATCGTATTTTAATATGATTTAGCTTTATTTATTTGAGACAATTCAACCGTGATTTTGTAATTATATCTTTTACTGTACTATTCAGAGGGAAATTAAGAAAAAGTAAAAATTTCGGAAAATTTTTCAAATAAAAGTTGTTCCTGATTTAACTTTAAACAAATATTATTCGTAATATTTTTTGATTCAACCAATAATTATTGAGATAACCTCAAAAATATCACTTTTTATGTCAACTTTTATCGCCATTTGGTGAGATAACGAAAATTTTTGAAAATTTTTCAAATAAAACTTGTTGCTGGTTTAATTCTAAACAAATTTTATTTGAAACATTTTTTGATTCAACCAATAATTATTGAGATAACCTCAAATGATTTTTTTTGATGTACACCAAGCGGCAAAAATCATGCAATTTTTTAAATTAATTTATTTAAAAAAAAACAAGGATAAATACATATATTTACATCAATTTCTAATCGAAACAATTAAATATGACTATTTTCTAATCGATTTCGATGATTATCTCGACTCCTCCCGTTCCCAATCGACATGGTGCTCATATTTGACTCATCAGACGTCGTAAAAACGTTATTATCATACCCATTCGTTTCCTTAACGTTTGTGTCCTGCTTAATTGGCCCATCCATAAAGAACAAAGTGAAAAAGAACAAAATCGAGCTTATCCCGTAAGCTCCGGCGTAAAAAATATACAAACTCTCCCTATACCCCACGTCTTTCGCGACTGGATCCACCAAAATCGGTAAATTCCCCCCAATATTATTCATAACGAACAAAAATAACCCAACGGTTGTTGATCTGACTTGCAACGGAACGATTTCGACCAAAATTGCGAATAAAATTCCAAACCACATCTCGGCGAAGAAATAAGATATCCCCAAAGTGATCATGGCCCAAGTGGGGTTAAAATAAACGCTTCCAAACGCGAAAGGAGTCGAAATTAATTGACTTATCGATAAAACTGCAACTCTCGATCTAATTCCCATTTTCGCGACGATTTTGTCGGAAACAACGCCCCCTATAACGATCCCAACTCCACCGATGACGATGGTTACGCCGAATAACCACCATCCTAAATCGTAATCGGGGAAATAAGTTTCGTAGTATAAATCGCAATTGTAAGCGAAACACATTCCGCCACAATGACGAATTGACGCTGCGATGCATAACATTACAACGCGCGGTTCGAAGATGACCTTCCAAATTGAGACTTTTTTTTTGTCGCCGGTTGCGTCTTCTCCGATGCTTTTGCGTTCGGGTTCTTTTAATGTTAGTCCGGTTAGTACGGCCATTATTAGTGCGATTACGCCGGCTCCGTAATAGGTTATGCGCCAGCCTAGATCCCAAATGTTCAAATGGGGGATGTACCTTCCGACGGGGAAGGCGATTCCGTAACCTCCGTAAATTCCCCAATTGAAAAGGGACATGACGAGAGCTCGTTTTTCTTCAGGGAAGATGTCCGATAAGATCCCAGTTGCTAAAGGGTTACATCCAGATTCGCTAAAACAAAAAAAAACGATAAAAATTCGTTTTTATGGTTAAAGTGACAGTTCAAGTTTGACAAGTGACATATTAAAAATACAGATTACTGTTTCTCAACTAAATTATGACGTATTTCCCTTAAAAGAAGCCATGTTAAATGTTAAAAAGGCATTTTGTGTTTTGAAATTGACTTTTTATGTTTTGAAATGTCAGTTGAAGTTTGACAAGTGACATATTAAAATACAGATTACTGTTTTTCAACCTAATTATAACGTATTTCGTTTAAAAGAAACGAAAAAACGATAATTTAATTAATTTGACTCTTTAAGTTCTAAAATGACAGTTCTAATTTGACAAGTGACATATTAAAATATAGATTACTGTTTGTCAACTTAATTATGACGTATTTCCCTTAAAAGAAGCCATGTTAAATGTTAAAAAGACATTTTGTATTTTGAAATTGATTTTTTATGTTTTGAATTGTGACAGTTCAAGTTTGACAAGTGACGTTTTAAATTGAAAAATTGTATTTGTCAACTTAATAACGACGAAATTTACTAAAAATTAGCATATCAAACGATAAAATTCATTTAATTTGACTGTTTAAGTTCTGAAATGACAGTAAAAACTATAAAAATTTGTTTTTAAGGTTAAAGTAACAGTTCTAGTTTGACAAGTGACATATTAAAGTATAAATTGATGTTTGTCAACTTAATTATGACAAATTATACTAAAAATTAACATGTCAAACGATGAAATACTTTTAAATTCACTTTTTAAGTTCTAAAGTGACAGTTCTAGTTTGACAAGTGACATATTAAAGTATGAATTGATGTTTGTCAAGTTAATTATAACGAATTTTACTAAAAATTAACATGTCAAACGATGAAATACTTTAAATTGACTTTTTAAGTTCTAAAATGACAGTTCTAGTTTGACAAGTGACATATTAAAGTATAAATTAATGTTTGTCAAGTTAATTATGACGAATATACTAAAAATTAACATGTTAAACGATAAAATACTGTTAATTTGCATTTAAAGTCCTAAAATGTCATTTCTAATTTGACAAGTGACATATTAAAATACAGATTACTGTTTGTCAACTTAATTATGACGTATTTCGTTTAAAAGAAACGAGGTTAAACGTTAAAATGACATTTTCTATTTTTAACTTTACTTTTTATGTTTTGAAATGACAGTTCAAGTTTGACAAGTGACGTTTTAAATTGAAAAATTGTATGTGTCAACGTAATTACGACGATTTTTACTAAAAATTAACATGTCAAACGATAAAATACTTTTAAATTGACTTTTTAAGTTCTAAAATGACAGTTCTAGTTTGACAAGTGACATATTAAAGTATAAATTGATGTTTGTCAAGTTAATTATGACGTATTTTACTGAAAATTAATATGTCAAACGATTAAATACTTTCAAATTGAGTTTTTAAGTTCTAAAATGACAGTTCTAGTTTGACAAGTGACATAATAAAGTATAAATTGATGTTTGTCAAGTTAATTATGACGTATTTTACTGAAAATTAATATGTCAAACGATTAAATACTTTTAAATTGACTTTTTAAGTTCTAAAATGACAGTTCTAGTTTGACAAGTGACATATTAAAATATAAATCGATGTTTCTCAACTTAATTATGACGTATTTTTCTTAAAAGAAGCCATGTTAAATGTTAAAAAGACATTTTGTATCTTGAAATTAACAATTTATGTTCTAAAATGACAGTTCAAGTTTGACAAGTGACAGATTAAATTTCAAAATGATATTGATAAAATTAATTATGAAGTATTTTACTTAAAAATGACCATGTTATGTGTTTAAAAGTTATTTTGTATTTTTAACATGATTTTCAATTTGACAAATGACATTTTTGACGTTAAAATAATATGTTCTAACATCAGAATTATAGTTATAACTTGACAAATATCAGATTTAGCATTAAAATGTTAGAAATGAGGTTGTTAACTTGTGAATTGACTTAAACAGTGAATATTGTTTACAATAATAAATAAAATAAATATGCTTTTTGCCATACTGTTCACATGGAAATCAAAAAAATGTTTTTATACCAACATGCAGCGCCATCTAGCAAAAATTTTTAAAATTGTTTCAAACAAAAATTGTTATTGATTTCATTCTTAATAAATATTGTTTGAAACATTTCTTGATTTAATCCATAACTATTGAGATAACCTCAAAAATAACAATTTTTATATCAACGCATAGCGCCATCTGGAGGAGGTGTCAAAATTTTTTATAAACAAAGTTATCTCAAATCATATTTTGAATAAATATTATAGGAAACATTTTTTGATAAAAATAACAATAAATTTTTCCCTAAATCAATCTCAAAATTTCAGAATATTTTAAAAATTCTTTTTTTTAGAAATTTTGATTAATAACTTCTAAAATTTTTATGATTTACCTTAAAATACATAGCTGTAGATTCAATTTGAGATATAAATCATGAATTAATTCGCGTAAATTAATATTGTACGATTTTTCGAAATTTTTATTAACTCAAAAACTTCAAAAAAAATCTAAAATTCATTACATCTTTATTTTTGGAGATTAAGTTGTTATTTTTCACCAAATTAAAGCTGAAAACGTCTTTTTTCGAATAATATATCACAACATACATGGGAGTTTATTACAAAATTCTTTTTTATTTTCTAAATTAACCTCAAAATATCAACTTTTTGGGAAATTATTATGAATTATCTTAACTTATACACTTTTAGCTTTAACTTAAATTGAAAAGCCATTAATAAAACATAATATACCTTGATTTACCATGATATGCTTTTTTCGTATTGTTCAGAGGGAAATTAAGAGGTGTTTATAACAATATACAGCGCCTCCTAGTGAGAATTTTTAAAGAATTTTCAAATAAAAGTTGTTGCTGATTTAATTCTAAACAAATGTTGTTTGAAACATTTTTTGATTTAAACAATAATTATTGAGATAACCTCAAAAATATCACTTTTTATGTCAGCGTTTATCGCCATCTAATGGAGAGTTCAAGAATTGTTAAAAAATCAACATTAATAACATCAATAACACATCAATAACATTAAAAAATCGTATTTTAATACGATTTAGTTTTAATTTAATACAATTTAATCGTAATTTTGCAATTATATCTTTTTTTTGTACTATTCAGAGGGAAATGAAGAAATTTAGGTTTTAAATTAAGAACAACCAACAATTTTGAAAAATTTTTCAAATAAAAGTTGTTGCTGTTTTAATTCTAAACAAATATTATTTGAAAGTTTTTTTGATTCATCTAATAATTATTGAGATAACCTCAAAATATCACTTTTTATATCACCACTTATCGCCATCTGGTGGAGATATCAAAAACTGTTGTTAATAACATTAAAAAATCGTATTTTAATACGATTCAGCTTTAATTTGAGTCAACTTTAACCGTCCTTTTGCAGTTATATCTTTTTTTCGTACTATTCAGAGGGAAATTAAGAAATTTAGATTTTTAATCAATACCAAGCAAAAATTTTGGAAAATTTTTCAAATAAAAGTTATTGCTGATTTAATTCTAAACAAATGTTGTTTGAAACATTTTTTGATTCATCCAATAATTACTGCAGTAACCTCAAAAATATCACTTTTTATATCGGTTTTTATCGCCATCTGGTGGAAAAATCAAAAATTGTTATTTATAACACTAAAAAATCATATTTTGAAACAATTTAGCTTTAATTTGAGACAATTTAGCCGTAATTTTGCAATTATATCTTTTTTTGTATTATTTAGAGGGAAATTAAAAAATTTTGATTTTAATTTAAAAACAAGCTAAAATTTCGGAAAATTTTTCAAATAAAAGTTGTTGCTAATTTAATTCTAAACAAATGTTGTTTGAAACATTTTTTGATTCAACCAATAATTATTGAGATAACCTCAAAAATATCACTTTTTATATCGGCGTTTATCGCCATCTGGTGGAGATATCAAAAATTGTTATTTATAACACTAAAAAATCATATTTTGAAACAATATAGCTTTAATTTATATTATTAATTTTGCAATTATATCTTTTTTTGTATTATTCAGAGGGAAATTAAGAAATTTAGATTTTAATTTAATAAAAAGCAAACATTTTGGAAAATTTTTCAAATAAAAGTTGTTTCTGGTTTAATTCTAAACAAATATTATTTGAAACATTTTTTGATTCAACCAATAATTATTGAGATAACCTCAAAAATATCACTTTTTATATCGGCTTTTATCGCCATCTGGTGGAGATATCAAAAATTGTTATTTATAACACTAAAAAATCTTATTTTAAAACAATTTAACTTTAATTTGAGACAATTTAGTCGTAATTATGAAATTATATTTTTTTTGTATTATTCAGAGGGAAATTAAAAAATTTAGATTTTAATTTAATAAAAACCCATCTAGTGAGGGTGTCGAAAATTTGTATTAGCAATGTTATTTTAAATCGTATTTTAAGTACCTAAACATTTTATGATATAGTTTAATTTGGAATATTTCGCCATACTATTCAGAGGGAAATTAAGAACCATTTATACCAGTACACAGTGCCATCTAACAATAATATTAAAAAATTTTTCAAACAAAAATCGTTCCTGATTCAATTCTAAACAGATATTATTCGAAACATTTTTTGATTCAACCAATAATTATTGAGATAACCTCAAAAATATCACTTTTTATATCGGCTTTTATCACCATTTCGTGAAGATATCAAAAATTGTTATTTATAACACTAAAAAATCGTATTTTGAAACAATTTAGCTTTAATTTGAGACGATTTAGCCGTAATTTTGCAATTATATATTTTTTTTGTATTATTCAGAGGGAAATTAAGAAATTTTGATTTTAATTTAACAAAAAGCAAAAATTTTGGAAAATTTTTCAAATAAAAGTTGTTCCTGGTTTAATTCTAAACAAATTTTGTTTGAAACATTTTTCGATTCAACCAATAATTATTGAGATAACCTCAAAAATATCACT